ATCTGGTGCGCGTCTTTTATTGTGACAGCGAATGCGCACCTGCGGACCACTTATGTGCACATAAGATAACTTCATAAAAGTGAATGTGTCATAATCAAGTTTGAATGTATCATACACTTCCTGACATCTTGCTGTAAAAATACGGAAGAAAGGAAAAAGAGAAGCTTGAAGATTAAAAGTCAGCAGAGTTTCACTGTGGATAGAAGAGTGAAGAAGAAATAGACAAAAGAGGTAAAAAAAACCCAACAACATTCATTTAATGTTTTTTTCAAAATATCTTTAAAACACTAAACAATATTGTATAAAGGTGTTGACTGTGCTGGTCAAAAAATGTGTTAGTTTGAGAATCCACTGTTCACAGTTCTCCAATTCATTAAATCATGCAGATGATCTAAAGTTAAATAAAATACAGTAGTAACAGTTTTTATTGTATTAGTGATCTTGTTGAGCTGTAAAAAATATTTTTGCTTTGATCATTTATCTTTTGAGAACAGATCTTTGTTTACCAGGAAAACTTTAGGGTAATGATGTAGGCATACATAACTACGGAATAACCAAGCGTGCAACATCCTCTATTGCAATGTGTGATGTAAGATGTTGAATTCCCTTAATATCTCTTTACTTCATTTGCTCCAATAGAGTTTCTCACTGCAGGGAGAAACTGAACGTGCCGAGAACCAAGTCAGGATGTTTGTTCTGATCTGGGCATCTTTCTTTTTGTGTATAAGAGTCAGCAACGCTGAAACAGGTTTGATTCTTCCTCTTTATAATCTTGTAATTCTGCTTTATCATTGCTTTGTTTTATACGGTTATATGTGCAGGTGTGTGTGTGTGTGTGTGTGTGTGTGTGCATACTAAAAGTGTTTTTTTGAAATGCATTCAGATTATAAGTATTCATTCTTGAAGTAGAATTCATCATAAATTAATCCAACTATTCAAATGAACTAAGTATTCTTTTCCTCTTTTTTTTACCTCCTCCTTTGTATTAACAGGCACATCACAACAATGCCCTGGAGAATACTGCATCACACTTAGTGAGACAGTAACAGCAGAGGCTGGACTCTGTGTTGTGATCCCGTGTTCTTTCACTACTGCTGATGAGTTTACACCCAAACATATAGTTTGGTACAAATGTAAATATACAAGATGTGACTATGATGATGAAATAATATTTCACAGCAACAAAAACAATATCCGTGTTCAGTATGGCTTTGAAGGACGTGTGTCACTCTTAGAGCCTGATATAAGACAGAACGACTGCAGCATCATCATTAATGATCTCAAAGAGTCGGATTCTGGATCGTATCGGATCAGAGTTAATGGTGAACTGAAAAGGAGAGAAGATGGATTTGCATCTATTCAAAGGACAACTGTCTCAGTTGAAGGTACAAACACTGCATCAAAAAAGGGATGTTGAGAATAAATCTTGGTTTTTGTGCTACTTTATTTATTAATTTTTTGTCTCAAGTATGAAGTGATTTTGCACATTTATTTACCCCTGTGTGCTGTTAGAACAAAATACAACGCTTTATGTTCCACATCTACCTGTTTAACATAATTTCCTAAAATTTAAGCAAAAAAATATATCTAGTTGATGAACTTCAGGCAGTTAACCAGATTATTCTTACGTTCTATTTTTCCACTAGGTCTTAGTCAGAAACCCAGAGTTAAGATTCCCACACTGACAGAGGGACAGCAGGCCACACTGACCTGTGTTGCTCCTGGTCTCTGCTCTGGATCTGTTCCTGAAATCACCTGGACATGGAGAGGAGCAGGAGGGACTGAATCTTACATTACAGGAAACATCACTT